GTTACACCACCAGAACCTGCCCTGTTATTGACTAGTTTTGCTGTGGCAAGTTACACCAAAACATATTATTTTGTCACGTGTGTTAGATGTAATGAAGAAAAACTAAGAATTAAGAAGGCGTGCATTAAATACAAGTTTCAAAGTGAGTGATAGTAATTTGATTGTTTGTGAATTTTGTGAAGAAATAAGATTGATGAGGTTACCTGTGTTTGATACAACACATGTTAGCCAAGGTAAATATTCCATTCGGAGGGCACAATATTTTTGACAGGAAAATAGTATGTGAACTTTATATTCGATGCTATGTTCATAGCAGATGGTATGGTCTTACTGTTGTTTCCTGTATGCATTTACTTTCAGATTGTTCAATGCTATTCTGAATTTACAGAATGCACGTACCAAAGATATATGTGTTTCTGTGTTAAAGTCAGTTATAACTCCAGACTAGAATGACAGATAACTTGAGGTAGAAATAGACTAATGCCAACTCTGGGTAAAGATATCCTGTAACCTTTGTTTGAAAATGCGGATAAATAGCTTCTCGTCACCAACGTGTTGTGATAACCAAGTCCATGCGAAACCTGTTGAAAATAGCATAGATCTGACCTCCGACTTCCATTATCGACTAGAGATTTGAGAAGACGATAGCTCTGCCTTGGATATCTAAAGGAGTCCATTCGTAGTAGTTTCAAACAGTACTTGATTAATATGTATGTAAATAATGGAGTCTGGATCAGACAATCCAGTGATCAACAGCATGAATATATATCTACGCAACTGGGATACGATGACATGTGTCAACAAGTCAGCCTGCCTGACCACCCGTTTCCGTGAGTCGCCTCTTACGACAAGCATGGGGTGTTGAAAACCAGTTCTTACCCGGAAAAATCAATGGCAAAAGATCCAGTAACACCGTACAACATTTAGTGAAAGCTCCTCTTCTGTACATTACGATCCTGCATTTCAATACTTTCATGGTCGACAAGAAAAAAAACACACATTAAAAGTTAAAATCTGATAACTGAGGGGAATATAAACGAATCCTTTTCTCTCATGAAGGCTCATGATACATGTTCGCGGCCTGATGATATAAATTATCAATTATTAAAACATCTACCACAGGAATCTCGCATAACTTTATTGAATATATTCTATAACATTTGGTGATTTTCCGCTTTCCTGGCATGACGCAATGATTGTTCCTGTACCCAAACCAGGAAAGGATCACACTGATCCTTATAATTATCGCCCCATTGTTTTCACCAGCTGGAACTCGTTTCAGACCATGGAACGTGTGGTCAGTGGTCGACTCGTCTGGTACCTAGAATCAAGTCAACTTATCACAGATATCCAGTGTGGTTTTAGACACCAGAGTTTTACCATTGGTCAGATTAGAGTCATTTATTCGTGATGGTTTTATTTAAAAGCAGCATGTAGTTTCTAATTTCTTTGACTTTGAAAAAACGGTATACACGTATGCTATATGGTATGTTAAAAGATAAGTGTGCGATGGGCCTTCATGGCAGCATGACTGATTTTTTGAAAGATGTGTGCAAGAGATTGAACCACTCCTTCAGTATCGAAATCAATAGTTTGGCTATATCATGCCGTGGTACCAACATGAATAGCATTGAAAGGCCATTGCAGCTATGTCTAAACAAGATGCACACATGGTCACTGGAAAATAGTTTTAAGTTTTCCAAATCTAAAACATGTTTTTGTCCATTTTTGTGATAAACATAACATCCACACAGATCCAGAGCTATTCCTTGAAACAGCTACCATCAACATCGTTCAAGAAGCTAATTGTTTTGGAGATAACATTTGACCGCAAATTATCATTTATCCCACACATTAAAAATCTCGAGGCATAATGTTTGAAGGCTCTCGATATTCTAAAGGTTGTTTTAAATACTAAATGGGGTGGGGGTCAAGAAACAGTTCTTCACTTCTACAGATCTTTCATAAGATCCCAGCTTGACTATGAATGTTTCATGTAATGGTCCAGCTTGCAAATCATATCATAAAACGCTGGATACAATTCATAATAAAAGTATCACACTATGTTTGGAGCCATTCCCATATCACATTCAGTGTTGTCACAACCCCTAGTGTACAGAACACAACCTTGTGCACTTAAAAGAACTCACGAATCCGTTGGTATATGACCATATGGTAGCCACATGAATACGTGCAAATACCTAGTTGTGGGTACAGCAACGTGCAGTAAACTTGGACAAAGTACTGTGACTATGTGTACCAGTCCACCCAGCTGTGAATGGGTACCTCGTTAGGATGAGAAAGCCACAATAACTCGGTGCGCCTAGTGGCTGCTAGAGTTGTATGGTCCCCAGGGAGTTAAGATTGATAATACGATGTGTTGTTGAGATTGACATCCAATGATCGAGGGAAAAACTACAAGAACCTTTAGCATGCCCTAGTTGCGTGGATATGTGCGCTATATATATATCCTATAATAATAAAAATAATAATAATAATATCGAATGCTTTTATGTTGAAGCAAATGAATCATGTTTAATGTTGATAACAGTTATACTCGTATTTATCTAAGGTACAGTGAGAAGGCGGAGCCAGCAAAGGGAGGTAATACAATTTTCGGGCTGAGCCGTAGATGCAACCAGGATACTAGTGGAGATTTATCAGGACGTATACCCTGGAGAGTTTGAGGATGTCATTATAATATATCTTGTTGTAGGTATGTTCCTTTTTCAATCTTATGTTTTTCATTTTCAGGAATTCAGTGGCTAATAAAAGACCGAGGAGCAGGGGTGCCGTATACAAGTAAATCACAATGGTCAAAATAGATCTGTTAATATGTACACATGTAACAGCTGGTAGAATTAGATGGGCTTTTGGATTTCTGTTACTCCTACCGATCATAACCTTCTTTGCAACTATGGGCAAGTTGAACAAACATTCTCCACAAACACTCCACATAGGCGGTTTCAAATTGAGAGCAGTTGCCAGTAAAAGAAATAATGAAGACTCATATCCACATCGATATTTCAATGTTCCTTGCTACAGAAATCCTCCAAACAGATTTCTTCCATTCACGTCTCAAGATCTAAGAAATCTCGAAAAGTGGTATTTCTCAGTGGATGATTTCTTTTCCATGAACAACAGCCAACCTCTGGATCTACCAGAAGATGATGGACCTAATTTGTATGAAAATTATGATTTGAAGAAGCCATGGAATTTTACTCTTTCTGATCATCGTTCCAAAGAATTCGAAATATTGAATGGCACAACGGGATGTTTTATACGAGGTACAGCTATCTCAAGATTACAAGGTACTGAAGCAGCGTGTGTGTGCACTTCCGGTTATAGCGGCCAGTATTGCTCTGTGCCTACAATAGTCCAGAAGTCTCTCCCTCATGGTCATGCCCCCACTATACGAGATACGCCACGGCGGATTATTCTGTCCACAAAATTCAATATGGAGCACCATGTTCTCATGCTCAAGATGCTACAAGTGCATTCAGCCGTGGATCTGTTTGTGATACTGGAATCCAACTATACTGGACATGGAGATCCACGACCGTTAAGGTTATTACACAATTTGAGAAGAGGATACATGAAGCGATTCCACCACAAGATAATGCACGTATTCATTGACACATTCCCAACTAAAGGACAGCTACATGGAGGTGTTGCAGAGAATCACATCAACCAATATATCCTCCCTGCCTTAGAGACGAGAGTTTCAGGACTCAGAAACGACGATCTCTTCATCTACATGGACACTGACGAAACTCCAGATGTGAAGGTATTGGAGTTTCTGAAGCTTCACAATGGTTATTCTTTCCCGGTCGGCTTCGTGCTTCAGCATTTTATTTATGGTTTCTATTGGGAATATTTGTCTACCAAGGTCAAAAGCGTTTGTAGCCTCCAGATGTTCAGAGACGTTTACAACGGAGATGTGTATGCACTTCGAGCAGATAGAAAAAGAAAATCATCTTCTCTCATGTCACATGCATGGTTCATCGGGTCATCTGACAACTATGCTGGATGGCATGCATCATGGTTCTCCTCGCCAAGGGAGGTAATCACGAAGCTGACTTCCGCTCTTAATGCTGACTTTCCTCGATGGGGAGACTACCCAGAGAAATGCACATTTGACTATGTTGCTACTCTGTTTCGAAAGGGAGAATATTTTGATGGAAAGAAGCAATTCAATCCAATTTGTTTTGACGACATTTATGTACTTAGAAACCTTTCTTATCTTTTGGAGCATAAAGAATACTTTAATTTCATGCTATACAACCCATCGGCTGTAAAGATGGATTCTAAGGACCAAACAATATACACTAGAGGGTAGAGCCCAATCTTTCTGCTCGCCAGTATGTTGCTCCAGTGAGCTATGCAAGTAGTGAGTTAGTGAGTATGGTTTTATGCCGCTTTTAGCAATATTCCATCAATATCACGGCGTCGGACACCAGGCCCCGATTTCTCGAAACAAACTTAAGTCTGAGTTTTGACTTAAATTAGAGTTTTTACTCAAATTTGAGAAAACGCATTTCCCTGAATGAACTGAAATTGATATTAAACTCAAACTTAAAAATGCAATTGAGTTAAAACTTCAGCTGTTTTAAATTGTCAAACGAAGTTTGAAATTTTAGTAAAACCTCGAGAAATCGAGGGAAGAAATGGATTTCACACAATGTACCCATGTGTGGAATCGAACCCGTGTCTTCGGCGTGATAAGCGGACGCTTTAACCACTGACCACTGGGCTATCCCATCGCCCCATGCAACTGATGGTGTGTGTGTGTGTGTGTGTGTGTGTGTGTGTGTGTGTGTGTGTGTGTGTGTGTGTGTGTGTGTGTGTGTGTGTGTGTGTGTGTGTGTGTGTGTGTGTGTGAAGTAAAAATATAAAGAGAGAATCTCACCCAAGTGTCTTCTGATTTAAATTATATCAACACGAGTAGATAAAGTTACAAATATCCGAGGCTTGACGAGAATATATTTATCCTTATCAACGAGCGTTGATATATTTTATTTCAGAGGACATGATGGTGAGATTCTATTCATCCTCAAAAATCACTCCTCGTTAGTTTTCAATGAAAAATGTCAATCTCTAAACATGGTACTGTCATTAGACTTGCATTGACGCGATGCCATAGCATTGTCACGTCATCAAGTTCATGTCCTAGGAGATATCGTTTAATCTCACACAAGCAAAAGCTCCTGTGGAAAACAGTTTTGGCAGATAAATTCAAATCCTGCAATTCATATAGGCTCTGTGTACAGAATATCTGTTTTCATATCAAGGCTTGGAACTAATTAAACTTCTATTCAATACTGTTGCCTCCGTAGGGAGAAATATAAATTTTGAGCCATAGTTGAGAAGTGACTCTACCGCAGCAGCAAACACTGTTTGCTTTCAGGTTCAAAGCTGGATTGGTTACATTAAGTCACTACATTGTTCCCTACCTGCATTTATCGAACACATGTTGCTGGGATTGGGTTCCGCTGTCAGCGAGGTACGTGGTGCGCGGCCTTTGGTATGGTTTGGTGAGGGTCGAGTGTCGGAGTACTGCTGCTGCTCCCGTTTTGCCGCTTATTTTGTGCCGTTTTTGGCCGTGCGCCACTACGCTTCCGCCGTTTTGATTTGTTTTGGTGGTGTTTTTGGTTGTGTCCGTTATGGCGGCATGGTGTAAGTACGTCTGGGTGTACGTACTGACACATATTGGGCTACGTATTGCTTTATTTCTTCCGGAATCAAATACATCAAGAACATTATCAAGGTACGTTTAGAATACGGTCGGTGAAGAATATTAGCTTATTTGGCTATATATTGCTGTTTGGGGAAGTGCTGTTGCACCAATGTTTGCTGGTTGTGTTATGTTTATCCCAGGATTACCTTAAAAAACTGTGTCCATGACATTAGAAAAACTATAGGTGATGTTGAGTTCGTAAAACAACCTAGGAACAAGTGACCAACTGATTCAATGAAAATCAACTGATCAGTTAAAGGGGACCATGGCCTTAACGTCAATTTGTGACATTCGTGTCAGAGTCCAGAATCTGAGCTAAAGTTGTTACATTGACTTTGATGTGAACATTGAAGAAATAGTTCAACAACTTAAGGGTCACAAGGTCATAGAGGCTAAACGTTTGTTGCGTTTGAAGGAAAAAGAAATTACTAATTCTGTTTTGCTTACATTTGAACCCTCTGATCTTCCTGAACGTGTCAAGATTTACTTTAAGTCATTCTGGATACGTCGTTGTGTAGTCCGACCTGGTGGACGCTGCATGTGACTGAGTGAGTGAGTTTAGTTTTACGCCGCTTTTAGCAATATTCCAGCAATATCACGGCGGGGACACCAGAAATGGGTTCACACATTGTACCCATGTGGGGAATCGAACCCAGGTCTTTGGCGTGACGAGCGAACGCTTTAACCACTAGGCTACCCCACCGCCCCAGACACTACATGTGTCACAAGGACTGCCACGTTTCATCTCAGTCTGGAAGGAAGACTACTGTATGCACAGGAGCGGTGGGGTAGCCTAGTGGTTAAAGCGTTCGCTCGTCACGCTGAAGACCCAGGTTCTATTCCCCACATTGGTACAATGTCTGAAGCTCATTTCTTGTCCCCCGCCGGGATGTTGCTGAACGTGGCGTAAAACCACACTCATTCACTCACCTGCATGCACAAGATGTAGTCGGGATCATGAGGCTGGGGGTGTTTCAAAATGTTGTAATTGTGGAGGTGATCACAGTGCTGTCACCCGTGAACATCCGGGTTAGGACTGATCTTCAGCAACCCATGCTTGTCGTAAGAGGGGACTAACGGGATCGGGTGGTCAGGCTCGCTGACTTGGTTGACACATGTCATCGTATCCCAACTGCGTAGATCGATGCTCAAGCTGTTGATCACTGGATTGTCTGGTCCAGACTCGATTAATTACAGACATGCCCCATATAGCTGGAATATTGCTGAGTGCGGTTTTGAACAACGATAACAGCACAGTCACCACACAAAATGACTGTATTATCCAAATTGACTAACGTTAGGAAATATACGTTTTATCCGGCGGCCGTATGAGCAACGTTTGAAATCTACGTATCATCTGTCTGTCAGATTTACACACGTTTAAAGGGGGGATAAAAATAAACGAACTCTCAACTCTGCATTTACATGTATTTCACAAATGTGTAAATTTGACCATTGTTTTCATGTGTTTTCTAGCATGTGTAACATATGTAAATGTTGTGATTGTAGGACATGCATTTCAATACCTTTGAAATCTCGTATGACAAGGGTTAGGTTTGTCATATATTTAGTACACGTGTAAATGGTTGGTAATGGGTAAATAAAGTGTTACAAGATTGACACTACTTTAACATGTATTTCAATGGTTCTGTAATATAACTGTCACATCGGGTTCGTTAGCGCGTCCTACCACGTCATAATGCACTGAGATCATTAGAAACAGATGGCGAAGTGATACCCATGACTGAGCACCACTATTAACGTGCCATACACACGATGTCTGTTTGTCGGGTCTCTGGGCCAGAGCGATATGCGTATGTGTGTGCATGTGTGTGAGAGGGAGGGGGTGTGGCATGGGGTAGGCCTAGGGTGGGGTGGTGGCGATGGGATATTGATAGGCCTTTCTAATCAGTAGGTAATATCGTTTATACTTTTTGAAATGGAAATTACATTACAGCTTAAATAACTGACCTTAGGTACACTTCTTATACATGAAATACAAGGAAACACTGCTTATTGCAATAGAACACAGACAGGTGTTTTCACACAGATATGAACCGGAAGGTCCTTAATTTTAGTGCACACTTGTATGAGTTACCCGATTGATCATAGCTGCAAAAAATGTCATTATCTATACTTTCAAAAAAGATTATTACAATGTATTAATGTTTCCTTGTGTAAATTACTGTTGTAAATGTGCAAACATGCGCATACTTGGTATGATCTCTTTTTGATTAGGAATACAGATCCCATACGGACGTTTTCTAAAATTTCAGTTACCCGACGGAGTATACAGTAACTGTACATCAATTGTGATTCCATCTCTTGGATAGACTATAGAAAATTCCAGTGACTGCAATTAGTTCATAAACTTAGATAAATAACCAGTTCCGATAATTATTGAAAGCTTACTACCTGACAGCATTTATGTTTCATGCGTTTTCATTTTTGATTTTGATTTTTTTGCTGTCTGATTTCTTGGAATATTGCTGAGTGCGGCGTAAAACCTCCCACGCACGCACGCACGCACGCACGCACTCACGCACTCACTCACAGTTCGTCTGTCGTCTACAAGGACCACGGCTTCACGCACTTGATTGGAGTTTGTGTGTCCGGAGGTGACTGGTCAATCCGATCCGGGCACGGAAGTAGCGTCCACAGGTTGGACATCTGTAGTCCGTCACTGTAGTTGAAGTGCTTGCAGCCCCAGCTTTTCGTGCAGCACGCTTTTCTTGTGCAGATTGGGTACGTGACTCTTCTGAGATGGTACATCCAGTCTTGAGTGTTCTACGCCGGAGCGTTCGGTCGAGGGCAATTATTTCCCAGTTCTACCTGTCAGTGTTCAGGCACTTTTGCGATGCCTTCAAGCTGTCTTGAAACCGTTTTTTCTGACCTCCAACTGTTCTCTTGCCTGATGCTAATTGCCCATAGAGGAGTTGCTTCGTAATTCTGGTGTCAGACATCCGATACACATGGCCAGCCAAAGTGTGGATAGAGGGGAGAATGGCTCTCTCTAGTACTTCTGTATCAGGGATCTTCCCTTGCCATCGGATATTGAGAATCCTTCTGAGGCGTTTGGTGTGAACATGGTTCAGCTTCCTTGCATGTCTACTGTAGACAGTCCAGGTTTCACTACCGCAGAGCAGAGTGGCGAGGACCACCGCGTTGTACACTGTGAGTTTAGTCGTGGCCGAGATACCTCTTCTATCTCATACAGTAGGACGCAGCCTCCCAAATGCAGCGCTGGCTTTTGCTATGCGTTGTTGACTTCATCGTCAATATCCACACAACGTGATAGGGAACTGCCAAGATATGTGAAGCTGTCGACTGCAGGTAGTATTGTGCCCTTGACCTCAATATTTGCTTCAGTATATGGACCACCTGGAGGAGGCTGGTACATGACTTCGGTCTTCTTGGTACTTATTGTGGGGCCGAAGTTGTTGCAAGCAGTTGAAAAAAACCCGATTGTGCGCTAAATGCTCACACTGGTGAACAGATGCAACAGAGCATGGCACATTTTCAACTACTCACTAACTCATCGAAGACTGCCAACAATCAAACGGACTCAAACTCACCGAAGCCATTCACATCAAACGCCAAAAGCCCACCATCAATGGCATTTCATCCCAACCGCTTATAGTGCACTCCTCCACCAAGCGGAATCAACTGAATAAACATCTCCTTTCTAAAATACTCCTTTCATTTGTTCATCAGGCTTCTAAGCCTTTCTCTTTGTCAACTCGCTGGCTTTATAATAATAATAATAATAATGAGTGAATTTGTAACGCGCCAATCTCCACGCCAGCTGGTATGCTCATGGCGCTACAAGTAAAGTTATTTGGGTGAGAGTCTAGACAAAGTACTTCTTAAATAAAAACGTTTTGAGGAGAGTTTTGAAGGAGTGCAGGCTTTGAGATCTTCAGGCAGAGAATTCCATAGAACAGCTGATTGGTAGGCAAATGATCTGAATCCAAATCGTTTCAGTCTGTATCTTGGCACTGTGCACAGAATTTGGGATTGGGTTCTGAGAGTTCTGGTTGGATTATACTGGCTTACAAGTTCACACAAATAGGATGGCGCGCGTTAAGGCACTGGTATGCGAGTACAAGAACTTTAAACTTAATTCTAGCTGAGATGGGCAGCCAGTGTAGGGATCGTAGAAGTGGCTGTATATGTGCAAACTTTGGAGCAAGACACACAATTCGGCTTTATCAGCTTTCTGCCAAGCCATTTGTGTTAAATATATTGTTTGCTTTGTTACACTCAGTATATATACTTCATCTCCACTTCATGTTACATTGCTGCTCGATAACGTTACAAGAATCTGTATTGACACGTTGTACTCACCAAATATAGACGTTGTTATCCATAA